GGTGGGACGGGCAGATTTGCTGCTCAGAGCTGGCACCTGGGTGCCCTCCAGGCTCCCTCCTGCCAGCCATTCGGCAGGACCCGGCCACGACTGCTGCTCCCCTCCAGGGAGGGCTGATGGGGCCAGAACCAGAGCTGGTTGGGGCACAGCGAGCCCAGGGCGGGGGGCTGGTGTGGCCAAGGCCCAGGCAGTGCCTGTCCCTCCGAGGGTGACACGAGGCCGGGGCAGGTTCTACGTGTGCAGCTCTGGGCCCACAACACTGCAGAGCTCCAACACACCCTGAGGGACAAGCCCAGGCCTCGTGTCCCTGCAGAGCTGATCTCGCATCCAAAAGCTGGTGCCTCTTCAGCAAACTCCCCCCTGAACCTGCAACCGGTCCCAGTTTATTACCACAGTTTAAGGAGCCCTGGGACCAGCACCAGCTTGTGCCTCCAGGTTCATTTCCAGCTCCAGCTGGCAGGGCAGGCACTGGAGCTGGCACCCTGGGTCAAGGGAAGGAGAAACCACAGACCGAAACCACATTGCTAGTGCGGGAATAACGGCAGGCACGTCAGGGGAGGGTGGGGAAGGAATCAGCCTGGCTGGGAGGAGAAAAGCCCTTTTCACACCCACCATGACATTTACACCTCAGCTCCGGAGCCCCAGCAGGGCAGGACCCGGCCACACAGCCTCGCTGGGGTGAGCTGCAAAGCAGCCAGAGCACCAGAAAGCGAGGGCCCAGAAGAACTGCTCCATCCCCAGAGCTCAGCTCGAAATCCAGCCGGACGCGAGCGCGGGAGGCGGCTTCAGCCCCAGCCCCAGCCCCCGGTCTGCCCCTGCCTGGCCGAGCTTCCCAAGAGCAGCAGCGAGGTTTCAGTCCAGCTGCCCCGGCTGTGAAGCTGAATAAATCCCAGATTCTGACTCATTCTCTTTTCACTACAGGTTGTGAAATTAATCTGAAACATCTGAGATCAGAAGAGCAGAGCTCACGCTGGCACTGGCAGCCGGTGGCCATTTGCACCAGACTCCAGGAGAGCAGCAGACAGGCCCTGGCTGCCGAGCTCAGCCTCGTCCTCTCCCACCCCTGCAGAGGATCTCGCAGCCCACAGACCCCTGAGGACTCGGGGAGCACAAAGCCCACTGGGCTGGGCACAGGTCAGGCCAGATGCAGCCGCTCTTACAAACCCAGGCAGGTAGGAAGCCTT